TGAACAACTGTAAGACATCCATGCTGGATCTGCCAAACGCGTGAAAGTAAGATGTCATAGCTCTCTTACTTTGCAGGAGGCAAACCAAAGGAATCTTTTTTTTTTGGAAAAACATTAAAAAGACCAAGGAGTTATTGATGGACATGAAAACCGCCTAGTTACCACTCATTAAGTGTTGGCCGATATTGACCCCCCATGGTTGTTGTGCCATGGGCCTTCATTTTTGCATCCTATGTCATGACCATCAATTTTACTGTAACACCCCACGCACATCCATATTTCTGTAGACGAGCCCGCATGCTCAACTTGTCGTTAATCACCTCAAGAGATAAATTTGAGAGGGCTTCTACTCCCAATCTTCCATAGACTCGGGGCTTTTGGGGGGCGGGGGTGATGGTGTCCTGAACTAGGGGGTGCATACCACATAGTCTCCTGGCCAGGTGGGCCGGGCCAAGGGCCCCTGGGATGATTTACCAGTAGGCCACGTTCGTCGGGCCCAGAAACGCCAAGATGGAAACTTTCGAAGACTTGGCGCATACTCCAAGACATATAGGTCGTTTACGCCACGATTACCCTAGATGTAACCGACCTATGTGTAAACCCTAGACACCCTTGGCATTTATATAAACCGAGGGGCGAGACTCATAGACGACACCTCATACACACATAGATCTCACGGTAGATCAACCTGTAACTTGTACTCCCTCGAAATCAATACAATAAATTCAAGACGTAGGGTATTATCTCTTTGAGAGAGCTCAAACCCGGGTAAAATCATGCGTCTCTGTTACCATTGCACCAAGGCTGCCAGCTCAGGACCTCCTACCGGAGATCTACTGGAATTGACTCCATCATTGGTGGCACATGCAGGTCCCTTTGAGTAGTCCAAGCGGTTCGATGGCGTGCCTCTAGGTCATCGATCAGGTCGGTTGTGGCATGACCTTTTTGCCGAGACAGATATTTGTCTTCTACAACATCACCCTCTTTGCAGATTCGACTGGCCACCCGAGGCAAAGTTTTCAACCTGGCCGAGGTCTGTCATCAGATCCGGGAACCTAGAATACATCGTAGATTCACGCAGCGAGCTTGCCTTCTCGGGCTACGTGTCATACCAGATCGAGGGGCACAATGATACACCCGCCGGGACCTCGGAGCCAGTCATGGCGCAGGATGATGACATAGACCATGTTTCAGATCCGACCTTGAGCCAGGATGCAGACACCATACTTGACGACCAGACGTTGAGTCAAGCTGTCGACAAAGAACCTAGATTCATATTGTATCGGATCTTAGGGAAATTGTTGTTGGTCCCGACTCTCGATTAGGCCATGGATGAAAGTGAGAACACACTTTTGAATGAGATGTTAGATCAGATTCAAAAACTCGCAATCTCGGATGATCAAACCTTGGTTTATGATTGAATATGGGAAAAACTGGGGAAGGTTGGAATTTGTGACCCACCCACCACCCACCTAGTCGCCAATGTTGAAGATTTAATCGGCATTCTCGCCAGTGCCTCCGAGGAGACAACCGACATGGATGACAACGTGGGAGAGTCCTCAGACAATGCACCGCCAGCTGCTGCATGCACATTTCGATGGACCGCAACCTGCACATATGACCTCTACATGGTAGACACACCCAAAAATGGAGGAGGAGAGAGACCTAATCACAGGGACGGTGATTCTCACAACGGAGGAGACAACAACAACAACAACAACAACAACAACAATAACAACAATGGCAGTGGCGGCAAAGGCAATGACAAGGGGAAAGGAGGCGACAACGACGAGATGGATTACAACCCCGATGACAACCTAGAAAGAAGCCTTGGCCCCAACGATGAGGATGCCCTTAATGAATCTTTGGGCAATCTCAGTTATGACTCATTGCGTGTAAGGCTGGTTAGCACCGCCAAAAGAATTTAAAATACGTCTCAACGTCTTTGAGACGAGGATAACTACCTTAATGACCAGTGGAATGAGCTCCTCCAAGCCCAGGAGGCACTCAAGGCTAAGTTGGGTAGATATAGGCCAACAACTGCCCACAACACCACTCTAGGAACCTCCTCAAAGAGATGGATGCGGCGATCAATGACAGCGCCATATCTAGGTGCAAGTGGGCCGAGAACCTTGATTGACCTACCTAAAACCGGCCTCTTTGAGATGCCAGTGCTTAAAAGCATGCTCCCAATGTGCCGGAGCGTAGGAGTAGACATAATCCCCCAAATGAAGGCTCAAAGCCGGGCCCATGGATAAAAGGCCTAAACGGCCCAAGGAGCCATCTTCTCGGTCAATCTACCAATCCAAGCAGCGTCCACCTGCTAGACAGGTGCTTGCTCCCGCATGAGTTGTTGAGTTTTCCCTAAGTGTAAGGGTGAAGTAGAACGGTAACAAGTATTTCTCTCAGTTAGAGAACCAAGATTATCAATCAAGTAGGAGTCTCCTAGCTAGCAATGTCAATAGGACCCGTG